AAATAAACCATATCTTAATCGCTAGAAGCATGCGTGTGATTTTAATATAAACGTTTGTTATCCATGTTCGATCTTCCATAAATCTCTTTATCGTTATTAGTATGGGAAAATATTTTACGAGAAAAATAATATTCTTCCTCGAAATACTATTTAATCGATTTCGCGTGATTCCATTTAAAAATTACATAGTTATTGTTACCGTCAATATTATCGAATTATTATCCATTTAAAATATAAATAACCAAGAGAAAAAGAATAGACAATGAAAGAAATTTTGCCGTGGCAAAGTTGAAAAGTTTATAAAATTGAACAAGGTAAAAGTGTAAACTTATAATTGACGTATGATATTGGTATTCATAAAAGTTTTCTAAGAGAAAAGTATTCCTATTTGTAAATTTCTTTAACGGAACTCGAGATGAGAGTCGTGAGATTATTTTCGTCGTTGCATTCGGCGTGTTGTGTGTCAAGCTGTTGAAGGGTGCGCAGTCCCTTTGTAATTTCAGGACTGACGGCACGCGGCGCTATAATAAAGTATTCGTTCTCGGTTTGCGTCTCGCGGTTTCTGTTTCTCCCTGCGAGTCTCTAGCTCGGCCTAAGTAAATACTTGACGAGGTTGCAAACCTCAATATTGCGCCGCCTTCTAGCTGCAGACGACTGTGCATACATCTGTCGAGCGAACCGAGCGAACGAGCGAATCACGGATGTCAGTTGGAGCGAATCGTGCTCGGAATTGTGCGCGAACGCGCTTTTATTTCTTACGATAGAATTGCCTCGTCGACTTTATTAATTACTTGTATGTCACTCTGAACCACGATCGCGTATGTAAGACACATCTTGGCTTTGTCACTGCCTAAATTTCCAATTTTTATTTGCCAACGACAAATGCATCCGTATATAGTTTTTCAGATTTATGCGTGACTTACATCTAAAGAGAGTTTATTTTACCAATATTTTATCACGATATTGCCTTTGCATGTCTATTTTACAAAGGAAACGAGATACATCTTGTCGTTCTCCACACGATGGTCGAATCGCCGAACGATCTTGAAGCTTATTGGATATCGCTCCATCTTCCGTGTTAGTTTATCAAATATATATCGCTTCCGTTTGGCAGGATAAATCTATCAGGTTCGTTTTGGCGCAAATAGATATATCAATAGTCCTCTCTCACACACACACACACACACACACACACACACACACACTCTCTCTCTCTTTTGCCTGGCCGAGAAATTTATGAGTTTAATCGATGTCCAATTTCGCTGGATTTCCGCAATTTTATATGTGGACTTAATGAACTCATGAAAAACCGGAATTTCTTTGTGGATTTCCGACTTTGATTGCGATAATTGGAGAAAATTAACGTAAAACGTCTAACTGCAACACGCATAGCATAATGTAAACATGGTGAATAATTACGTGTCTGCCTGAGAGCGGTCTAATTATCGACTCGAGCTTCGAATACGGTTCGAATCACGCGTTTATTTAGCACGCTGTAAAGTGATCGTCTGCGCAGCGATCGTCTCTGCCGCGGTGAACGAGGTTTCGTTAGGCAAGCGAGAACTATCGTCGAAATGTTGCCGCAGCTCTTTGTGCTCGTGGCGATTTTGCGGAATTAGTTACGAATTACCAGGCGAATTACAATGACGGTTTCCGCCTGTCTCTGGCAATCTCTGGTTACGGCACGAGCAGACGAAATAGGCAGCTTGATTTCTCGCTTGCGTACTTTCTAATTATCCGGGAGTGCAGCATCCAGGTAAAAAAAATCAACCCTGCATTAATAACGCTCCTTTCTCGATTTATCATATCGAACTGACTGAAAAACGCGATTCTATCCTCGATGAACAACTAGGTATTGCTAAACTTATAACGGCGCGTAGCGACATTTCACAATTCTCTCCCTTTCCTCGCAAAGAGAAGGCAATTGAAGCTATTGGAACGTTGATGTATATTTCAATCGTTAAAATGTTAAGATAAATTTGGAAGGTAAATTGGAAAATATATTAACGCTGTTTGTCGGAATTTGTGATACGCAATTTGACCATTATTCATAAAATATCCGTTTCATAGAGAAATGTTGGTCACATTATTATTTCAGCTTAATCGTTATCGACAAATATCATACAATTGAATAAAACTCAAAGGGAATGTAATATCGTGCACCGGATTTAACATGAAATGCTCTTATCTTGATTCTCGCGCGGAAATCACAGTATAATCTGAAATGTGAGTTAGACGACGCGAGGTCTGACGTAATTCCCACTCAATTCAATCCCTATCAGCTTTCTAAGAGGCTCTAATCCATCAGTATAATTAGGGAAGAACCAAACGGCAAAAAAACGAGGGGTGATTGACGATAATGCACTGGCTTTCTTACTGCGAGATATGAAAAAAAAGGGGGAGATGGATCACCGCTCAAATCTCTTATCGCTTTAATGCATTGTTAATTGCCAGCTCAAAATATCATTGCAGTTATCCCGCAGATCGAGTATCATGCGGGAGACCCGTTAGAGAAACTGTTTTTCACAGTGAAAACCAATTTTTCGATCGGTCCCGCAAGTTGATCAATTCATCATGTAGGCGCAAAGCGCTTGCCGTTTATTATATTTTTAAGGTAATCGGCGCCTGTCAAAGCGGCGAATCTGTCCAATTTTTTTGCAGCGAAATATTTTCAAAGGCTACGCAAAAAATGAGAGAAAAAGGGACACACGTGTCACTTGGAACGAGCAAAACTGCGGGGTTCGTCACCAAAAATGCGAATTAATGTAACGCCTCGCTCGGTTCGTTTTTCCCCCTTTTTTTTACGCTTTTACGGTATGTTTGGCGTCGCCGTGTTCGGATTCCTGCATGAACGCTATTTTCGCTTTTGAGAGTCTCCGAAAAATTTCACAACGCTGCGCACGAAGGGCTCGCAGAAATATTTCTCCCGGCGGAGTAATTTAGTTGTTGGAGAATTTTTGCGGCAGATTCGCGTGCCGGCGATAAAATATAAATTCAACCGGGTAAACGTGTCCATGAAGAATTGCAGTTGTCCCTAGTCCTACTTCTGTGTACTGCTTTTATTATTCTCAAGTCGCGAGAGAAATTATGATGCTCTTACTGCTTTCGATTTATATGAATATTCGAATGGATAGAAAACAAATTGATCCGATACAAGATGGATGAGATGCGATTACCTTTATGATATACAGGCATAATTTTCGAATTCAGGTACGGATGAAACTTCCGGCGAAACTTGGTATCCCGTGAGAAAGAGTCGTCACGATAAATCTCGCAAGATATACGGAATAACTTCTTATTGCCGGAAACTCTGCGGACGTAAATCTCGCTCTCCCTGTCGTCGCTAATTCTGACTACGGCGCGTCACATTTCGAATCGCGAGCCAATTTCCGAAAACCTCTGCGAAACTTGGACAACTTCTCCTTCCCATTGGGGCTTTTATTCAACTTGGGCCATCGAGAAGCACTTACCATTTTTAGCGTCGCTAAAAGTTGTGCAACGATTACACGGGATATCCATCTGACGAAAAAGGGATCGATACTATACGCAGGAAGATTAGGCAATTTGATTACATCATTCGCGATAAATCTCTTTATTACGTCAAAAGGGCTAATCGCTTTTAAGGCGCTCCTCCAACCGTCGGGTTAATTTCAGAAGTCGAATCACGACGAGAATGCACAATCGCGCGTACAAAAGTTCGTACATATATATCGGGGAAATTCTGCTCGCATGTACCTACTCGCCTCTGCAAAAAGCCGTAATGGAGTTTCGACGTTTGTCGGCATTGTTTCGCTATTTTGTAAGCCATCGAGAGCGCGGATCGTCTCTAACGGATTGCTTGATTTTACGGAACGCCGAAGGGCGAAAATGCAAGTTACAGCAGATGGGAACGTCTGTATTCGTCTGTTTACAATCCCGGAAAACGCGTCATTCTCTCTCTCTCTGCCCCTTCCCCTCCCTCTCTCCCTCGGTAATCGTCTCTAGAAGCTCTTTGAGACTCTTCGGAACTCCGCTGAAATCGCAAATGCTTCACTCGATTCTCCGCCCTCACGCTCGTTGTCGCAGCTAATCATTCGCGCAACTAATTAGTTCTTGCGCATTCTCTAAGAGGATTTAATGTCGTAATCGGATCTTCGATGTCATTATTATCAATTTATTTCATATACCTATATATAAGAGATATTTAAAAAATGGTGATAACCCATCATAATTAGTGAAATACTATATCAATATATTTTGACAATTTAAAAGAAAAGTTGTCATTTTTGTCGTATACACTGATAGTTATCCATCTCTTTTCTTATATCACTTTTATCTCGCAGGAAAAATATAGGTATTTGGATAAGAGCTAGTTTTGATAAGATTATTATATATTGCTCTGCTTGTAGACTCTTAAATTTGTTAGATGCTTTCAATGCTATGCGAGTCGAGGAATATCTCATTCGAATCGGATTTGACTTGCGTAAATTCTTGCGACGCAATCGATTTTCTCTTCTTACCTCTCTTTCTCTCTCATTTCTCAAATTCAAGCGATGCAGCCATGCTTGGTAAATCGATTTTCATAGATATATATATAGACTTGTTTAGCCGTGACAAACCAGATTTTCGTGTATTTCGTATCATTCCCCCGGGATTCAATTCGGTTTGTCGAAAATGTTGAAAGGCAAATGAAAGCTTTAAGGAGATTACTGGCCATCGATACATCACTTTTTTTAGTTGGAGAAACGAGACACAGCTATTAAAAAAAAGTTGTTTGCCAAACTGAAAAAGTTGGGTTTCCGATTGAATGTACATATATAAAGAACTGAATCTATTTGTAACATTTTCGATTATACACTATATATTTCACAATTGAGATAAAATGATTTTGATAGGTATGTATCGAGCTCGTACGTACTACAATGCCGCCGTTTAATTAACTTTCTTCCGTAATATTTAATTGCAGTTCTCGTGGCGAAAGAAGAAAGAGAGAGATTAGTAAAGACTCGAAATTCCATTAGGAAAATAAGAAGAGGAAGCGGACGGATAAAAATCGGAAAATGGATGAAAATCAACAGCGGGGACCGATATTCCGGTCTCTCAACAGTCAACACGAATCCTTCGTCAGATTTATTAACACGACTCCTCACATTATTACTTTGTACTGGATGGATTATCAAGGACAGGCAATTAGTTATGGCGATCTGTCACCTGGGGACTACAGAGAAATAAACACGTTTCATACGCATCCGTGGATTTTCGTCAATAAAGAAACGGGTGTCAGGTATGTGCAGCAATCGTTACTCAGTACAGTAATCGAGGATAGTTGGACGTTTGTATAGTTGTCGCAGTTTTAGTCTTGCGTAAAATGCTAAAAATCGATATATCATCCATATTTCCAGATTAGTTGAATTATTTTGTATATATCTAATTGTTTCGTACCTTTCGTACTTCAACCGAGATTGTCGCAAAGAGATTAGTTTGCTTAATATTTGCTTGGAAATATCTGCTTCGAATAGACAGGTTATTAACGCTCAGGGCAAAATAAAACAGGTACTTGGTGGAGCAGCGCGAAGTTTTCTTACCTGCGCCATGGTTTCTCAAGTACCGTGGCGTTAGGCCGAGCGAACTGCCGCAAAGAATCGAGAGGACCAACGTGTACATCGTGCTACCAATGTTCACTTTGCAACAAATGTCATTAAGAGTCATCAAAAACTGTCTCACGAACGACTCGCAGGCTTTCCTCCTCGACATTCCACGGACTCTCCAGGAAGAGCTCTTTACGATGCTACCAAAGAAAATTCAATCCTCGTGACATGCTCTCATTTAACGTGCCATCGTTTTTACCATTAGGATAATGACGAAAGAGAAACTGGTATATTTTTAACTTTTATAAAGACGAAGAAAATGTTTTAAAAGTCCTTAGTCCCTTTTTGCATGTAGAAGAATAGAATGAATTTGTTTTTTTTCTTTTTTCATAGGTACGTGCAAAAATATACCGCATATTATTTAATGTCATTACGTGCACAATGCAGTTCTTAAAGGTAGGCAAATTAATATTTTTTAATACAACACATTTCTTTCTCGAGATGAAACCGTTTAAAGCCACGAGTGCATTATGCTCCACACAAAGTAATCACGGATTATAGAAATGTTTAAAACAGTCCAAGTGTTTGCGAAAAGTGCAACTAAAAATTTTACTTATTTTCATTCATCAACACGCACAGATGTGCGGTAGATACGAATAAATTTCACAATGATACGCCACTCGGGAAGTTTGAGGAAAATCGTCGATAGTAGTCCGAGCTCGTTTCCGCAATTTGTTAGCAGAGTTGCCAAGGTATTAACCGGCCTCCTTTTCTGCGTTTCGTCCTTTTCGCTCCTTTCACGTTCCTCTCATTTTCCACACGAGCTCGATAGATATCCCGAAAACTTTTCTTCGTTAATTAATAGGTAGCCAAGTATCGAGCAAAAGTGAAATGTACAGTGATGCATTTGTTATCGATATGTAAGTTTTGTCATATATGTATATATATATATATCGCGAAAAACATTGTAATAAATAGATATATATATTTGCAGTTATATAAAAACAAAATATATGTGTTACCCTACTACAAGAAAATTGTACAGAAAAAAAACTTGTAAGTAATATTTGACACTTAATGATTTACACATTGAAACCTTTGGAAACTTTTATTTTCAAGGAATCTATGTGTTTGGCGAAACACATAGATACAGAACTCGCCAGGTACTCTCGTCTCTGGAATAGTCGCCGAAATGAAGCTTGGTAAGAATTCGACTGCTATTCCACGAAACGCGAGTGCATGTAATTACCGCGTCTTTCGTGCATATATTCTTATGACATACGCTTACACGTGATAAGGAATCGCAGGCGAAGGAAAGGTGGGGAGGAACGTGGAGAGGGCTGTCGGTAAGTCAATTTCCATCGCGGTTATTCGAGTAGTCAGCAATCGATTAAACACGCGCTAAATGGACTCTGGTCACTTGCTCTTAATCCATCCTGACCCTAATGGGTTTTAAACCGTCGCGGAATGTCATCGGACGACCCGTCTGTGGTCAGACTTATTGCCTATTTCGGATTAACATCCGAACATAACATTCATTCCGTGCTTTGATGAATCGAGTTGACTCTTAATTAAAATCTCGTCATCGATAATATAGAGTTGACAGTTAAAAGAATTGAGCAATAGAATGTTTGGTGTTGTCGGTCGAGTGCATAGTGTGAGTTTTCCGAGAGTTTGCCTGCGATGTTTACGGAAGGCAACAAAGAAAATAGGAGAAGAGATCGTCATCTACACGATCATTCCGTGCAAGAAATTCAAGTTGCGAAATTAAGGCAGGCCGTGGGAGCAGCTAAAAATTCCTGCCTCGTATAACATGTACAATCAGGTTGAGATACCAATTGTAAATCTTGAACAAAGAACTAATTAAATATGAAACGGAATACCAGTAGCGTGCTAACAAGTCATTCGCGTTCAAAATGTATCCTATTCAATTTATAATAATCAGTTATCTAAAAATGCTAATACATGAACTGTAACGGAACTCGCGTATTATTTTCGTAGATACGTATTTTTCTAGATATTCTTTTTCATGTATATACAAGTTTTCCTTTCTTTTTTAGTGAAAATTCAGCTGGTCGCTATTTATTTTTCCAACGTTCCGGGATGTTGGAAACTTTAAATATTTCTACGCGATTGCGGGAATCGGTCGTTTCGAAACTTCCGGCGAGACCATTTTATACTGGTACGTGCTTACACGTATCTCCCGTAAATTTCGCGGTCTTCATTGCGTACGGATTTACAGGTTGACCTGTACGGCTATTCCCGTGGGATTTAGCGCGATTAACTCGTCAGTTGATCGCGATCAATCGCAAACGGTTACCGCCTATTCCCATGGAAAATTTGCTTGGCCATAAATTTAGCGATAGTTAATTCTCTCAGCAATGGGCAATACGCAAATTTAGAACGTGAATATCTCCATCTTGAGACGCAAACTTTGATCTTTCGATAAATGTCAGCGACAAGAATACTACTTTCGCCAGATCGCTCGATCTCGCTTCAGATGTTTATTTATAAGTCACATTCGCAGCAACCGGGGCTTTAATTGATTGTGAAAAAGGAAAAAGAGAGAAAAGCTCGAGACGTCGCGATTTTCGCCGTTTGATTGAAGCGTTAACGCGCGATCGGTGATCTCATTGAAAGCATTTAGAGAAGAAGGTCCTCGCAGATCGCAAATGCACTTGGCAGATTCGTGGAGCTCATAGCCGAAGTTTGTTGTTACACGAGAGCACTTCGACGTCGTCGCCGTACCTACGTACCCGCGTTCCCGGAGCTCGGGTTTAATACTGGTTTAATCATGACTGGGTCCGCGAAGTTCGTCGTCTGTGGTTTTTGGCTGGCGCATAATACGCCCCCGCGGAAGATCGTACAAACACGCGCGCGGCGAAAACCGCACGGTTCCCCGAGGTGCAACCATTTCGATTACAACCGTGAAACTGCACCGCGTAACGGTGCAAACCGTCATGGCGATTGCAGCAATAGCATACCGTTACAATACCAACATGCAAATAGTTATGCTACGCGAGAAGCTCTCAATTTTTGAGGGCCGGCCGTCCGACACGTACGAATCGACGTCAATTTGCATCGCAAAAAGTTTTCCATTTCACTCGAAACGTACGCTAGTAATGGATTTGTTCAACGGGACAAATATTTCTTCTTCGACATCGACGCGGTATTTTCCTTTTCTAACATTCCTACTCGTCTACAATATTTTTCCAGGTATGCTACTCGCTATTTATTTCAAGACAATTATCTGAATATGGATTATCGAAAGGAGAATGTATTTATTTCTTATTACATTTCAGAAACGTAACGACCGTTTAATTTATATCATTTCAAATTTCGTTGAATAGTAATTTCACTATGTTTTTATCTTGTGGAATACGTGAAATATCGTTACGTACATATGAACAAGTACGCGTCATGAAATTCGAGAGCTTGCCCATTAGTTGGGAATCTCCGTGCACAAAGCTGACTCAGACGTATTAATTAACACGGATACGATTATGTAATTTGCATCTGTTAACGCATTAACGCTATTCGCGAAAATTTCGTAATAGAAAAATATCAAAGAGAATATCAAATAAATGAATGTTTGGTCCGTTCTGAAAATTAACTTGGATAAAATAATCGTCTGCTAACTTACAAGTACGTACACAGCATTAATTAAATTTAATATGAAATTAATAATTAGCCGGTTATCTGAAAATATTGAGAGATAAGGTGAAATAATTGTACAGGTACTTTTGCCGGCGGCGTTTTCGATAAATCGTGAGTTTTTTTAAGAAATCTTTTTCTTGTCTACACACAAGGAGAGCAATAACAATTGTTACGACGGTATAAAATATGCTGTGTCAGCAAGCAGTTTTTACCACACGTATGCGAGATAAATGATTGATTTTTTTTTTGTAAAGAATATCGCAAAGGGAATTATTAGCACCACTGTTGTCACGTCCCACGTTTTCCTATTTTTGCGCGTCCGCTGTTCAAACATTGCACCGTTACAAATCAAATATTTGCAATTGCATACATCTGTGAGAGGCTTTCAAGCTCTTTTGTTAACAGAAAATCCAGATTATCCATCAGCGTCGTTATCGCAGAGAAAAAAAATAGAATAAATAGAACGTCAGTTCCGTCTTCGATCGTATATTTGCCACTTGTGTTTCGTCAGACTTTTCTCTCCGGGTAGTATTTTTAAATTGTTGAACCTTTCGGTTACCTCTTGACCCATGACATACACGTGATACCGATTTGACGAAACTATAATTCTAATTTAAAGCTTATTTTCGTAATAGGACAAATCAATAAAACAGTCTGCGATTCAATCAACGAGAAATTTGAACCTCATATCTAAATGAATCCGTTTCGAGTGAAAAGAAGCGGGACAAGTCTTATTGATGGGTGGGATCACACGGAACCATAAATTCTTGTAAAATATTCATTAATTTCGGAGGTTAAAGAGATGGAAACTAATAGTTATTAAGGCGTCGTAATATGAAACTCCATTTTATTACATCGCACGGTCGGCGCTCGAGACAAGCGCTATATCGCCGCATCTCTCGCAGATACGAACGGAAAGGAGGAGTAACTTCTTTAAGCAGGTTCTCACTTGATCGCAAGTTCCGAGAATCGTTCCGTTGCTGCTGTAGTTGAAGCAATTAAATCGTATATATGGGATATCTTTGGTGCAATTAGTTGGTGTACGTCCACTTAGGTTGGCGCATTACGGCCGGAAATTTCCAAGTATTATTTATGATCCTCCCTGACTGAGAGGAAAGCTCATTATCTTGGTTAAATATATATCTTTATTTCATGTGGAAGACGACGTTCCGCTTTATTTCGCTCTATTTTGTGCCATTTTAAAAGAGGTATGAAAGTTTACTAGAAATGAAGATTTTGGAGGAATTTGCCATAGCGTAAACACCGAGCGACAACTTGGCAAGTTTAAGTACGCTCTTTACGCAACATATACATTATGAAAATGAAATAAAATTTGCGGGACGCCGCGGAATATCGTTTGGCGCAATACGTCGACGCGCATAATGCATCGGGGAAGAGGCTGTGGCATTTCCATGGCAAACGGCGAAGCGAGTGTCGAAGTCACGTCGCCGTAATTAGTACGCCAATTAATTAGCAATCGGTGAATCGCGCGGGGCGAGCGCGAATCGACCGGCGTCGTTACCAGGAATGCGACAACGGCGGCATCGCGCGACGCCTGCGCCGATATCTAATTAGAAGAACAACCCATCGCTACGGGCGCGGCGTTTTCTCGTAATTACTCGTAATTAGTTGCTACTTGTAATTGGTAATTACGATGTATTCGTAGAAAACACGAGGGGTCGGATTTTGTACCGATTAAGCGTCGCAATCGGATGCTAAGCTAAGAAGGGCGATAATTTTCTGCTTTCAGCGGAAATGCGATTAATATTTCAATAAGTAGCTGTCACAGATTTAACCCGAATGTAAATAGCAATTCGCGTTTATACGTAATTGCGCAAACGAAAGAGTGACTTGTTAAAATTATGACATTCGCCGAGTCGCTTCTTTTAATTAAACCCGCTCGTACAATTAATTACGTTCGTACAATTTATTCTGCGCTTTGTTTATTGCCCTAGTTAACTTTTTCGGATCCATTTGTTAGCCTCGACGTCACACGGCGTAACGTAATCGCAAATGAGGAGAAACGTGGCGTGCCCTTCGTGCATCTGAAATCACAGATTTCAGAGAGAGAGAGAGAGAGAATTTCTCCATTGATTATACTCAAATTTTGCATAATTTGATGTTCTCGCACAGATGATTTTAGCTATTCAGCGCTACGATGCTTCCGATTACAACCATTGTAAATGGCATATATGAAAGGTTTCGTGCTATTCATATCGAATTTCGAAAGATTCGCATTACAATTATTAGTAACTGATATTATGACCATCGGTATTTCGAGAATGGTATATCGTCAATCCGGCTCTTAATGAAATGATAAATCTAAATTGATATTAAAGTTTAATTTTTCAATTAATGTGATAAACAGAGAGCTGCACGTATCGCGCAATAAATTATTCTTTAATAGCG